ATGTACTATCATATTGAATCTCAGGACATTCTATTCTTTCTTCTAATTGATGCAGTTCTGCAATAGCAGGTGATAAAAAAGAGTTTAGATCCTTTGGCGCTTTAGGACTAGGTATAATCGTCGATATAAGAAGATTTTCTTTTTTTACATGTTGCTCTGGAGGTAAGTTAGCATTTATAAATAATAAAATCCAACAATCATCTGTTTTTTGTTTAAAAATTTGAAAGCCGTCAATTGATGCTAATAATGCAACATTATGATTTTCTTTAAAATGTCCTTTTTGTACAAGAGTTTTATACCGTTGACCATCAAATACATCTCCAATTATTTTATTATTATAGTATTCTGGCCTTGAAGTATATTCTGCATGGTAGTATAAATTTTTTGCTTAGATAGTATCTTGATATTGAAATATGAGACGGTCAACAATTGGAAAATATGCAAATTGGCGGCGTGTTTTACTTTTATAAAGTCCATTTTGATAGCGTTCTTGTTTGCAGTAAGGACACTCAGTAAGATTTTTAAAATCACCCATATAGGTACAACATAAATTAATACACATGTCTATCTATATAGGTTTAAATGGAATAAATGACGATAGCTTTTTTTTAATTAAGTATAAGCTCTTCGGTTTTGTTATTATAGCTTTTATAATTTCATAAAAAGCCTCATTACTAAGATTATTTTGTACCTTAATTTTGAGGAGCCGAATCATGGTAGCAAGCTCAGAAGATATAAAAGGATCATTTTCTAATATTTAATAAAGAACAAAAATTAAGATTTTTACTAAATTATATTTTATGACATATTTAAATTCAATTAATTATTTTTAATCTTTTTTTTTATTATTGTTATTAAAATAGATATTATAATTAAAATATTACCTTCGTTATCAGTAAAAGTTGTATTAGTTATACTTGAATCACTTCTCTCACTTTCTGACCAATTCTCAAATTCATCATCAATTTCTAAACTACCTTCAAAAGTAATATTACTTTCGTACTCATACTCATCTCTATTTTCTAATACATTCTCAAGTTCGATATTACCTTCTGACTCATTTTCAAATACATTAATATCTTCAAATCCTTCAAAGTTATTATGATTCCCTAACGCATTCTCAAATTGATCAACACTTTCCAATCTGTAATTATTTTCTAACCCTTTCTCAAATTCACTAATGTTTTCTAGATTATAAAGTTCAGGCTCAAATGTCTCTTGGTAACAACTATATAATTCTTGATTTTGAATACTGTCTTGAATACTTTCTTGCAATTCTGAATCATTATTGGGACTTAATTCATTTCGTTTATCACGTTTTTGATGTCGAACTCTAGCACTTTTTAGTTTCCAGGAACCACCATCATCATTTAATGAGCAAATACTACAAGTACAACAGACCAAAGATTCAGGCATTATTTTTTTTTAATAAATTTCTATTACAAAATTATCAAATATAAATTAATGAAATATCGATATATGATATATATTTTACAGTATATATAAATTAATGTAAAAACCAACCTAATTATTTAAAAAAAAAAGATTTCCGATACTATACATTTAGCTCAAGATCTTATTATTAATCTTTCACTTTTTATAAATAGTATTACACAGAGATGATACCTTTTAATTTAAAATTAAATATCTGAAATAAATAATAGTATTATAATTATAATCTCATACCAATTCAATTTACTAACAATACCTCTTCAATCGATCTCAACTAACACTTGCTAATAGCTTTGTATTAATTATAATACAACAAGGCACATATTGAGTTATTAAAGTTAAAAAAAAAATTGCTAATTATTAACGATTTTTTTGTTCAATTTTAACTATGATAATTACTGCCAAAAATAGATATTAAAATAGACTCTGCATGCATAACTGATAGTATAATTCTTATTGGTAGATTGTAATGTAATTACAGTATCGTTTAATGCATGCAGAGTTTATGGATATATATGATATTACATGAACTGATTCATATTTATTAATATAAGTTATGAGAAGATCGTGATCAGTAAATTTCTTTTCTAATTTTTCAAAAAAGATAAATGCATATCAAATAACTGGTATACATAAATAGTTGAATGTTTTAGTTGAAGTTTGCTCAAGCCAGTTATCTTTTTTTTGAACAATATAATTTTTTTAAATAAAATAAATTTACCTATCATATTTTCTAAAATATAGTAAATTCTGACCTATTATTTATCTCTGCAACGATGGTTCATAAAAAAAAAAGAACACATACAAGTAATCAAAGCACAAATACAAGTGATAGAGAGGGTATAACTCAGTCTATTTCAGAATCTGAAACAGATAGAAGTGAACAAAATTCAGATATTGAAGATAATCCACCCTCAAAAACAAATGAACTATTAGCTTTGCTTAAAAGATTGAAAACTTTGGAGAAACTCCAAGCTACTAATGATAAAGTTAATCAAAGAATTGAACCCATTCCAGATGATACCAATAGCAATATATATAAAAAAAAAAACAAAAAAAAGCCTCCAAATCTAATAAGAAAACACAAGAATGATTCTTCTAGTTCAGGAATGGAGAGTACTAGTGACGAAGATTCTATTGCATGTATTTGATAATTTTGAGTAATTTTGTTATTACATAATTACTAAAAAGTTATTTTACGATTCAAAAGCCAGTACCAATTGAAAAACCAAGTGAGACAATGTATATCAATATTTCTAAATTTCTCAAGATTGATAAGCCTATATATAATAGTTATCGGGTGATAATATTATTATTCATATTTTAATTTATCTTTTATTTATTTCAATTTGTTGATTTATTAATTGGATTTTATTATTCTAGTAATCATTCCGTTTAATGATAACAGCCAAATATGAAAAGAATGTGCCTGAGTACCGAAGAATATCTGAGAAAGAAAAAAATGAAATTATTAAAAGAGTAAGTAAGATCTATAATTCAATTGTTTTTATTAATATTTTTTAAAATAATAAACAATAGTATTTTATTAGTTCAAGCGCAAAAATCCAATGTTTCCTCTTACGGTTTGTGATTGGGCTATTAGACAGATGATGAGAGGGATCATTAACAATAAATGTAAGCATTAGTCAAAATTAAAATATTTGTCATTTTAAATAGTATGCTTTAACTGCTATTTAATATATCAAAATTTTAATCTTGACTAGTTAAGTAATATTATATGAAACTATAAAAATCTAATTAACTTATCCTTCAAATAGGTAATACAGAAAAGCGTAAAATGAATGGTCATTCATCTCACAATAGCAAAAAAAATAATAAAGGTATAGCGTATTGCTTTAGTTGTTAGTTTTTATAAATTTATCTTTTTTTTTATATAATTAAAGATCCTTCTACTGAAACACATGAAACTCTTGAAGAATTCATATCTAGCCTTGGAACTAGCGTGAGTAGACTATAATAAATTATTAATAAAAATATTGCTATAATTAATTTTTATGTGCTATTCAAATTACCAATGATGAATAGTCTATAGAAGTTACTAGAACTTCAAGTCCAGTAAGGTCAACTTCTAATATTAGTACAACGTCTACCTCTCGCTCTCCATTAACTACTCTTCAACAATCAAATGCCGATGAAACTCAAGATGTAAGTTTGAATTATACTATTGAAGCACTGGAGACGCCAAGTAAAAAATCTAGAACTTCTAGCCATGTGTTATGTTCCAAGTATGTTAATACATTGTGATTTATAATTTGGTTATAGATATTTAAAAGACTAGTGGTTTTATCATAATATTAGTTACTTTAATTCATATCGATATTATTACTATTATTTAATAGTGTCTATACTAGAACCCAAAGTAATGATCTTGCTAATAAAGTTACAGAAACTGCAAAAAATGCTAAAAAACGATCTTCAAAAGTACCTAACAAAGCCAAGACCAAAGGTAAGATATAATTGTATATATAATATTTGAAATGTATACTAAAAATTAAAATCTAATTATTTTTTTTCAGAAAAAAAATAGCATAATAATATATATAGTATACATTTAGTATACATATATGCAATATTAAAGTACCGGTAATCAAATTAGTAGGTTATTTGCATATTAATCATATATAGTTAGCATGTATTTAGTAAATTATAATTCAAAACAAAAATTGAATAAAGTAATTATAATGTGAGTAACATATTGTAACAGCAATAGAATATTTGTTGAATATAAGTTTAATGTATTTTAAATAAACATATGATAATTAATGCATATTAATAGTTCGATTATTTATTAAAAATCAAATAAAGTCTATCTTATTTTATAATAATTTTGTACAAAAATCATATAAATTATTGTTCAAAAAATTGTTCGAGAAATCGACTCCGTTTTGAACATTTTTTTGAATAAAGACTGTACAAAAACTTAACAAAAGCTTAGAATATTTATTTGACAAACTTTTTTTATAGGGTAAAAAAGATTAAAAATTAGAAAAAAATAACTACTTCATCTAATTCAAGTCAGAAAAGCCTTTGAATGAATTAGTATTGACCTAATAAGACCTTTACCTATTACAACTCAAAACAATTGATAAATAATAGTTGCAATAGACTAAACTTTCAACTCTTTCTGATAATTATCAAATTATAATAAATTGAATCAACAAGAATAACCTACTGCTATAAGTTGAATAAACCTCTTTTTAGTGAACACTTAGAAGAATTAAATAAAGAAAATATTTGATTAATTAAAAGAAAAGCAGAATTTTAAAACTAGATCTATTAGAATATTAGAAGCTCACTATTATCTTAGAAAGATTATATTGGACAATAGAGTAAACTAAGATCAGATTAGAGCTATGCATAATTAACAATATAGTGATTGAAAAATAAGAGATATTTGGAAAAGAGCTACACAACTAAAAGAAGTCTTTGAAATTAATCCCTTAGAACTCCTATACCAGATCAAGAAGCTTAGTATTACTTAAATAACAAAGTTAACAGAAACAGAGTTTACAGAACTTTTACAAGTTCTTAAATTTTAAATTTGTAAAACAAATTTTTTTAAAAGAGAAAATATATTATAGAATAGATTTTTAGTTATTTTATTATTATTATATTTTATTATTATTAGTTATATTTATTAGTATTTAGTTATTTTTTAGAATATTCTATAGAATAGATGAGCAAACTCTACTGAATATATTAAAAATTAATGATTACTAATTATTAGTAAAGCTTATTTCTTATATTGTTCATTTATTCTATAGAATATTATTTTCTTATATTGTATTATTTTAGTATAAATATTTTAGAGTAGAGAAATTTATTGTAAATATTCACCTCTAAGTGAAGTCCTTCAAGAAGCATTCATAGTAAAAAATACCTTTAAATAACTTTGTAGCCAATGAATATTAGCTACATAAAGATATAAGTTATATTTAAAGTTATTATATAATATCTAGAAAAAACATAGGCTATAGCAAGAAAATACTATGCTAAAACTATATCAGACTATACTGAATATTGTGCTAAACTGTGCTAAATACTTTGCTGAGAACTGTACTAAATACTATGCCAATACTATGCTAGAATATACTGAAAGATTGTGCTAAACTATACTAAACTGTGCTAAGTACAGTGTCTCTTATAGTGCTAAACTATTAATAGTAATACTTAACTGTTACTTGTATAAATACTTAAGTAATACTTGTATAAGTTACTTATATAATGCTTTGCTAATGCTTACACAATGCTTGCTAAAAGTTATAAATACAAATAGAATTCTTTCTCTTGCTCTTTAGTTATTTAAACCTCAACTCCCCTTCTTTCTTGTACTTGACTTTAAATATTTATAATTAATAAATATATTATTATTAAATAAACCTAAATGAACTGCCTTTTGTAGAGTAAAACTTGTCTTTACAATTAGTTAAAGAAACTTCTCTTTTGAATATTGTTTTTTAAAGTAATTAGATAGCTATATTGCTATTACTTATAGTATACTAAGAAGGCTATGCTATTTGTAATACTATAAAACAATAATCATGGATAACTTTAATAGTATTTCTAATACATGTATTGACTAAATTCTTCCTAAAAAAAATATTTATACTAAAACTTCAACTCATAAAATATGTGATTAGTTGCTAATACAAAGATAGCTTTCAAACCTTTTTCTCTAATACCAAAAACTACATATTCTATTGCCATAATATCCAAAGCTGAATTAATCAAATTTGAACTAATCTATTAATATAAAATATTGACTATGCAGATATACTTCTTGATAATATACTTGAATCTGATTACAATATTACAACAATTGAAATTTCAATAATAATTAACAAACCTAAACCTCAAAAACAACAAAAATAAAAATACTTTCTTTAGAAAAACTGTACTAAAGAAAATACTAAAAATTATACTAACTAATTAGCACAAAGTCTCTAATATATTTCTTCTAAAATTACTAATATTTCTAATCAAAATCAACTTAATAATTGCTAGAATCAAATTCATAAAGCAATAATTAAAGTTGTTACTAAACATATTCCTTTTAAAAAAATTAAAACAATCAAAAAAATACAAAAAAATTTACTAACTAAATATCTACCTCTTTTTTATAAATATAAACAAATCAAATATATCAAAAATCATTTCAAATCCTTAAACTCTAACATTCTAATTACTAAATATCTATTAGATTATCTAGAAAACTCTCTTAACACTAATACACCCTCTTTTGACTAAATTAAAAATGAATTCTAACTTATTAAAATATCACTAACTACTAACAAAAACAAGCTATTTATAATAATATAAAACAAAAAATAGAAAACTAAAACAAATCTTTTAAAGAAACTTCCAAACTCTTTTACAAAAAATATTAGAAAAATATAATAATCTTAACTTAGATAAACTTTTAATTAACAATTCTCTTCTTATAAAACATGATGAAATACTGAATACAGTTTAATATCATTTCTTTAACTATTTTGAAAACATACCTATACAACTAATTCCACTATCTTCTGAATTTTTCTAACAATATCAACTATACCTAGAATTAGAAACTTATTATCAAAATCTGTTTACAGAAATTTCAGACAAGAATAGCAAGAAACTATTGCTAGTCTATCTAATCAAAAATTAGCTAGTCCTTCTGAAATCTACTATAAATATATAAAATATTCAAATAAACAAATATAAAAATTACAAAAATTAGGAAAATATTAGTGTGGCAGTAGTTAATCACAGGATAATATACGCATACTGATCTATGAGTAGGGGACCTGCATAGTAGAAATCCCGAGTTAGATGAAGTAGTACAGATTTTGATAGTCATACTAGTTTATACCTGATCTGATGAAAGAAATTTGTAGCTGAAAGATATGACTGAGTGGGTGCGAGTAAGTCCATTACACAAGATCATACGGCAACATCAACCTGGCTTAGCAGCTAACTAAATTGGGAGGATCTGCCTCATGAAACATCTGAAAACATAGAAAACTGATCCAGTGGAAGGTTATGGTAGGAACTGGGTTTATACGAATATCAAATAAGAGTATATGCAAGCTAGATTAGTATATAGCATAGCATAGTTAGGTACTACAGCACCCCATCAGTTAGGGAGTTAGTGAAAGGACACCTTGTGATAGGGTCTAGGCTCCGAACCATAAAGTTTGTGAACTAATGTCAGCTTGGGTGTCTTCCAGAAGAAGTAGCATAAGGTTAGATGATTTTGGTAAAACAAGATAGAACACAGGTAAGTGTCATAGAGCCAGAGAGTTTAAATAAGTAATCTTCAAATAGATTTCAGGTATAGCAGCTAGTGTAGAACCTTCGAGTGGACTACTTAAATT